CAGGATTAGCTGGGCCCCTAGTCCTCGAAGACATTGAGCACCAGTGTGTCCAGAGATTGGGGGGCACAGGGAGTTAAAGGATATGAAGAGGGTTTTGTGCCAGGCACTGTAGTGCAAGTCTAGAATCCCAGCTACTTGGGAGGCTAAAGCAGAAGGATGGTGAGTCTAAGACCATCCTTGGGCAACATAGGGAGACCTTGACGCAAGAAGGAAGGAAGGAAGGGAGAAGGAGATGTATCAGGGTCAAGGTCAAGGTAGGTCCTGGAAATTTGGGCTAGCCACTAAGGGAAATGGCGGATGGAGACATGTCATGCCTCCTGCCACACATGAACACATTACATTCCTTCCTTCTGTGCAGAGGGTATAGAGTATGGGAAAGCTCTAATGACTTCTCACAATTCTGTAAACTAAATTAACCAAATTTGAACTGATTCCACTGTGGGGCCATGTGTATATTTTGGAAGCATATGAACATTTTTATACATCTACAAATTTTTAAAGTGTTGTTAGGTCACTAGGTACCAAGAAAAAAAGACTAGAAGAATATGCTTCAAAACAGTAATAGTATCTACCTTGGGTGAAAGATTTAAGAGTGGATTTTTCTTTTTTCACTTTCTCATCTGTATTTTCTTTTTAAAGATCATGAACAAGTATATATTCTTTTGGAAGTGAAGGAAAAAAAAATCAGTGCCTTTGATCTACCGGGCTGTGGTAATGTGGGACCTTTGAGACATCCCTGCAAGGTAGGGAGGAGGGCTGGTGTATCTCAGTGGCAAAAAGTCTCCATAGACCTTCCTACTGCCTCCCTGCTATCTGTCTAGGATTGTTGTGGAGCAAAATTCTTTTCCATGGACTGATAACAGTTTCCACAGTTCTGAAATCTGTGAAAATGTGGGCAGAAGAGCATCTTCCTGAGAAAGAGGTGGGAGGGTGGAGGGGATGGAAAACTTCCTCTGTGGCTGGAAAGTGCATTTATCACAGATTGCTATCGCAGGGACTGGCCCAGCTGGTCTCTGACTCTGAGGGATGGGCACAGGTGGCTGGGCAGGTGGGACCTTGTCTGGATGGAGATAAGCCTTCTGGGAGATTTATGCAAATGGAATCACAGTGGAAAGTCAAACTTTGAGGAAGAATGAACTGCTAAAATGGCTCTTTCTGAGATCTGAAAAAGCCTGAGATAATGAGGGTAGCCAGTGGGACCTCTGACTGCCTATTACAGAGGGACTTTGTCTTGTGTCCTTCCGTGGTAGCTGGGACCATCTTAAAAACAGGGTCTTCAGGGGGCCCACCTATGTCTGCATTAAGGAAAGCTGAGTTCCAGTGCTTCTTGAGGAAATGATGTCTCTTTGCACTTTTTATCTTCTATACATGACAGTAGTGACTTTGGTTGCATTATTAATATTTCAGGATAAACAGAAGGTCATACAGTTGCCCAAATGCAGTTAGTTTTTGCATTACAAGCCCTCTGGGGATTTGTGAGACCCTCAGCCTAGATGGCTCAAAATAAGACATTAATAGCACTTTGGTTACAAACTTAAGGAAAACTTGTCATATTTCTATTTAGGTAGCTCCTTCTTGAGGTTTGTTTACTTATTTATTGCCTGTGTTTTTAAGGATTTTTCCCTTATAGCACAAGCCAACATGTTCACAAGAGAACATTTAAGAAATACAATCAAGAAAATAAAAAGTACCCATGATCCTACACCTCAGGACAACCACTAATACTTTTGCATGTATCTTTTTTGTTCCTGTTCATATGTGTGTGTATTGTTGATGTTTCTCTTCAATTAAAATACATATTTACTGTAAAAAGCTACATTTTAAATGGCATGGTACATACCATATGGTCCTTACCCACCAAAGTTTTTTTGCTTTCAAATTTTCTATCATAGGCTTTTCTGACATCTGGCTGTATTTTGCAGACTAATTTTTTTTCTCCTTTTTTTTTAAAAAAAAACTTTTAAAAGAAAATTTAATGGAACACCTGAGGGAGTTGAGCCCCCACCAGGGAGATAAGCATGTGTGTGAACAAGTGTTTTCTCATTGCTTCCACAAGGTTCCTCATCTTCAGGCCACCAGTGGGGGAGTGTGACATCACTCTAAACGACAGGTCAGTCAAGTGCTGCCCCTCTCAGGAGTGAATAGGTCCTTAGGAGAAGGAGAGCCTCAGCAAGGAGAATTTGGGGGCCCAGCAAAGAGCCACATGAGGGACAGAAAGGCCAGGAGGAGTTCTATACTCCCACATTGGGGCCAAGGCTTGAACTGGTTCCCCTCCCTGATGTCCCTCTCCTGTATGATATCCACCAGGATCCTCCTGGCCTTCCTGGGATCCCTTTCCTCAGTGTGCGCACTGTCTACTCACCAGCTGTTGGAGGCCCTGAGGTCCCATCGATTCTCTGTGTTTCCTACAGTGCTTGGCACAGCGTAGAAGAGAGTTGTTGGTTGATTTGTCTCTGTAGTCGCCTTAGCTGGACTGTTTATTCATTGTGGGTCATTCCCTTATCCAAAACAAAACTACAGCTTCCTTATATTCTTAGCATTTGAAGATTTTTCTGTTTCTTCCATAGTTCTTCCCTTCCCAGAATTTTTCTTTTCAGATAGGTTCTAAGATTTATTCCTAATCCCTCCTGCTCTGAGATTACCTCCTTGGCTTGTGACTGTTTGTCAACCTCCCTCCGCAGGAACAGTGATGCTCTATCTGAAACCCTCACTATCCCAACCTGATAATCCACAGTCGCACTCACTCAGAACTCTGCTGGAGGTTTTATAAAGTGCAGGTGTCTCTATGTACAGTATTTATGTAGGAGTGCTGCAGCTCTGGGTGTCTGTATTTTTTTAAGCTACAGAGTTGATGCCAATGCTGGATCTAGAATCTGGGCTACCATTTCCTGAGCACTGTGTGTGGCATGCATCATCTGAGCTCTTTCCATAAACTGTGAGTGGCATAACCCTCTTGGTAGTGCTAGGGATTGGGTAAGATGAATCCTGACTCACTGAAACTAAGGCACAGAGAGGCCCAAGATTCTCTAAAGAGAATCTCTCCTTACATGGTCCACATAGCACAGACAGACAAATGTGGAAGTCAAATTTAAAGCAGGGACAGTGGACTTCCAAGCCCACCCCTCACCCCTGTGCTGTCCACCAGGCACTCTTCTCTTGTGCTTCTTGGACTCATATTCCCAGCTACCTTCCTGACATCTTTTCCTGGGGGCCCTTGGGCACTTCAGACCCAACAGGCCCCTGTTGAACTTGCCCACTCTTCCCCACAACTTGCTTCTCCAGTATCCTCTTGGTGGCTTAAGGGTGCCTCCAAACCTTATCAGTGTTCCTCTCTTCCCCTGTGTCAGCCCCCATATCTCCACGGTATTTACTTGGTTCTGTACTACACCTTTTATAAGCTCAGGTGTCTGAATTTTCTCTCCATTTCACTTCTATCCTCATAGTTTAGTCCTTCCTTACTAGACTGTCAACAGTAACCTCCTAAGTGGTCTCTGGGATTTTAATCTCTCCTTCTTACGTGGTCCACATAGCACAGACAGACTAGCTCTATTCCTGAAGCATTGGTGTCACCCAATTGCATTGGGCTGCCCAGAAAGAAAACCCAACCCATCCTTAGGTCTGGCATTGAACACTCCACATGGACTGCCCTTGCCCCCGTCTCTCTGCTAACACTGCACCCCTGGGCTCAGAACACTGGTTTCCTCACCATCTCCCAAGTGTGCTAGGCCCATTCTCACTTCGCCTTTACGCCTGACCCTTCTGCTAGAATCCCTTTTCTCCCCCAGCTCTCACTGGAAAACCTTGTCACACTCCTCTGGACAGCCCTTAAACAGCAATTTCTTAAAATTTAAGTTTTTCTGATTCCCCTGGTTAGTTGGTTACTGCCTCCTCTGAGTTCTCTCAACATAAGCGACTTCTACAACATGTAATCCCCTCTATTAGAATTGTTTGTTAGCCTGCAAAAGACCATGAGCCTCCTGGAAATTGATTCTTGAGTCCATAGCCATGAGCAGGGCTCAGCGCCAAGTAGGCACTTGGTGAGGGTTGGCTCCCAGACCCCATTCAGACTGGGCACTGCCAGTTTCCTTCTGTTTGGATGAATGCAGAGCAACAACAGATTCTGATGGCATTTTGGCTCTGCTGTTGGTTGTGCCCAAATCTGGTCAGCTAGAATAAGAACACAAAGTGTTCACAAGCCAGATGGAATAGCAAATCAGAGGGTAGTCTGGCCAGATAGCAAGTCGGATACCTGAGACCGAGGCTCCCTATTGCTTGGGAATTTACTAAGGAAGAAATACAACTTTCCAATCCTTCATAATAATAGTGCTGATTAAAACTAAAATAAAATATGATTCCAATGTAAACATAACCCATTGAAATTTAGAGCTGCACATTTTGGTCTAGGAAAACTGGACTGTTAGATGTGAAGCCCACCAATGAAAACTGACAAAGGCAGATGCTATTAACAGGAAATTTAGTGTAGACCAAAATCATAATGAGTCAGATTGTTACTGTAACATTTAGGTAGGCAAGAATGGATTCAGTGATGTTAGCAAAATTAAAATAGAAAATAATCAGGAACAATGTACTATTCTTTGTAGAAAATTGATCAAGGAATTGATGTAGCCTAATGGCATTTCCTCAGAAAAATTCATTGTCAATAAATATTCCTTACTAGGCACGGTAGTGGACACCTGTAATCCCAGATCCTTAGGAGGCTAAGGCAGGTGGATCACAAGTTCAAGGCCAGCCTGGACTACTGTGAAACCCTGTCTCAAAATAAAATAAAAAATGCTGGGGATGTAGTTCACACACAAGGCCCTGGGTTCAATCCCCAGCACCACTAAATAAATAAATAAATAGTCCTCGCTGTTGATATAATTCAGAAAATAGAGTTTATACATGTGTGGTGGCTGCTTTGAAATGACTGTCTCCACTTTGGAGTGTTATGACTGATAGAACTGCCAGCACAACCCTGACACTTTTCCTCTTTCTTACAGGGGGCAGTGCCCAAAGGAAATGCTACTAAAGAATTTATCGAGAGTTTACAGTTGAAGCCTGGGCAGGTGGTATACAAGTGTCCCAAATGCTGCAGCATCAAGCCCGACAGAGCCCACCACTGCAGGTACACGGGCTGGGGCTCCCCTGTCTCCTCTCAGCCACCCTGCCTCCTGTCACACATATACCCTGAAGTAGCACACACTTCCCCCGCAGGTGCCAAGTCAGAAAGTGGACTTGGAACACCCCTGGCTCTGCACATTGTGCATGTGCATCCTGGTCCCTGTGAGCCCACTAGATTGGAAAGGGCTTGTGATTTGGACTTAGAACATCTGCCCCAGGACTTGGCTCTGCCACACCTGAAGCAGGCCTTTGTTTTCATATATGTAAAATTAAGGGAACTCCTGTTTTTCCTACCACTTCACAGCTTTTATGACAAGGAGACCATGAGAAAAAGCTTTAGAAAATCATTCTGTGAACATCTTATACTTGAAACAAAGGGTTGCTCCTGAATAAAGACTTTCCTTTAAAACCAAACTTCTAGAGGTTATGGCTATTGTAGAAGTCAGCTCAAAAAAATGTTTTCCCATCTTATCTGGCGAGTTTTCCCTTTTTATTTTCAGGTTTCTTTGTTGTTTTGAATCTTCTTGTTGAGACGATATCTAAATAAAAATTATATTTTATCATTAGAAAGAACTTTAAATGCTAGAATACAGAGGGAGAAATGTCACTGAGTCCCCTTTTCAGACCAGTGCTTGTGTTTGGGGTGGGGAGGGTCATGGAGGAATGAACTTGCTCTCAGAGGTGAGAGGTCATCCTTATCAGCCCGAGGCCATGGAGCTATTTGGGTCAAGTGAGATGTCTGAGTGAATAAAAGGTGGTCTTTCCCTGTAGTCCTCACTGTCCACCTCTCAGAAGAGACTAGTCAGTCTCTAGGGTTCAGATTCCAGTCGGCTCCTTGGTTCTTGCTGTATCAAGGCACTTACCCTTCCTGTCCCTTCATCACTCATCTGATTTCTATCTTCACAGCCACCCTGAGAGCTAGGTATTACTGTAGGGGCTACTCTTCCTAGTTTCCTAGATGAGGAAACTAAAGCTCATGGTGGTTAAGTGACTGCTCTAAGGTCTTGCAGCCAGTGAGTACTAAAGACTGGTGGTGCTAAGGTAAGTGAGTACTAAGGTCCTGGTGGTTCTGGCTCCAGGTCCCAGCAGGACTCTTTCCACTAGAACTCCAGTTTGGGAGTAACTCATATAACCCTATATACTTGTATGTTTATTTCTCCGTCTCTCTGAAAGAGAGAGATCGATTGATCTGTGGGCCTGCCCAACTAGTTGCCACCTGCTTGAGAGTGAAGGAGGTACTCCAGCAGAGTCCTATGGCAATTGCTGTCCCCTGCGGGGTTTCTATCTAGATCAACTTGCTTCTGAGGTCCACATCAGGTTTGCTTCTTGTGTCTGAGATGGAAGCATCAGTCTAGTCTTTTCCTGCCACCTTGGGGCTCTGGAGCTAGCTGCTGTCTAAGGATCACCCAAAGGATCACCCAACTTGCTTGTGTGGTTCCTCAGAATAGCCCCAGGGGTTGACCAGGTTCTGGCCTTGAAGTTGGAGAGGTCATTGTTGGAAATCTGGAACTGTCTCCACTGCACTGTGACCCTTAGGCCTCTGCTTTCTCTCCCATAATTGAGGGTTGATCCTCCGTAGCTTGTTATGAGGATTAAATTTAAATAACTGTTCAAGCTGCCCAGCTCAGCGAGTGGAAGCTACTCGTTCGTAGAAGAATGTGTAGAGACTTGGAGATGTGCTGGGTTTATAAAAGCAGGACCAGAAACTGAGTTATTGCCTTTGTAGAAAAGAACTTTGGGGCAACCACAGTGGTGTTTTTCTCTTCCCTCCCCACACCCTCAGCTGTCTTCACTGCCTGGCATTTTCCTGCCGCCTCCTCGCCTCCCTCCCTGGTGACCAGGGGAGGTGTTCTGAGTGCTAGTAAACACATCAGCTTGAGCAGCAGGAGCTGCTGACTCAATGAGCGAGCGAGGATGCCTGTGCATCGCCTGTTCCTACTTCAGGAAGTGTGTGCTGACAGCTGCTTCTTCGTGACGGCACATGTGGCCCAGGCCATCTGGGGACCCACAGTTTGGATAAGCAGAATCCCCAGCATGTGAGACAGCCTGGGCTTGTTGACGGTTGGTTGAGCCCAGTCTACTATAGTTAGAGCTGATAGACTCTGGGCTTGCCTGTTCAGTATGCCCACTTGTATTTGTCCCCGTCTCTTTTAATCCTGTATTCCCAACAGAGCCCATTGAATTTGACGCTGTCTCCATTCCCTGTGCTCTGGTGGGTACCACAGATACAGAGGGTGCAGGTAGGTCTCACCCTCTAGAAGCACTTAGAACCCCACGCTGCTTTCATCCTGGTATGGAATCTCCCAGTCACGAGGACCATGGAAGCATGTGGAAATCCTGTAAGAGGAGCCATTTGTACTGATGTGGATGGTCAAGGCTTTAGGCTTATACGCTGGGTTCTTCTTGGAGGAGGTGGAGACCCCTCCTTAGCAATGCCTCAGCCACACTTCAACCTCTCCAGATATGCACAGTGAGACTGAGACAGTGGTAGGTTGCTTTGTGCACCTAACAGATTCTTATTGTTTTGTCTTTCTCCTTGCTAAGACTACTAATAAAATGTACATAGCATGAGTATTGATTTTAAAGCATTTAGCACACATTATTGGTGCTTACATGAAAGATCAGGGTAATTCTGCTGAGGCTGATGTGGAGAACCTCCATTGCTTTGCCCAGACCCAAGATGAAGCTGTGTCCTCAGACCCTCTTCTTTCCCTCACATTGCACTGCCTTTCAAAACTCGATTCTGAGCTGTGCTGGGCTGTGCTATGGATCTTTTGCTTATACTTTTGTCATAGCCAGTGAGGTGTGATGCAGTGAAACCTGTGTGTGATGCCACAACCCCTCCAGTACTTCTTGCTGTTTTCTTTTCATCTTCCCTACCGGAGCATCTAGGCAGATGTGAGTCAGCTCGTTTCCCAGGCTTCCTCATTACCTGTCTGGAGCATCAAAGCCTTAATTCAGCAGACTCTGCTATGGAAGGCCCTGGGCTTGGCTCTGTGCTTATATTGGTGAGTTAGAAATCGTCCTGGCTCTAGGGGCCTCCCACCCAGGCAGGACAGGCCCTCATCTTGTGGCACAATTCCATAATTACTGCTATGAGAGACACACACAGTCATGCCTATGTTGCATATACGGCCATTACCCAGGATGAGCACCAGAGCCCCAGCTAGCTCATTTGAGGCTGCATACCTAGGAAAGGCCTGTACACCTCCCTGGAGAGGGAACAGAGGGAGTTCATGGATGCATCCGAGCCAATGAGCTTGTTGGGTTCTCCCAAGCTTTGAGTCCTGAAAAATGGTAGGGAACCTGGAAGAAGTGGGGAGGAGAAGCATCTGCCTTCTTCTAAAACAATAACTTAAAACATAGAAGGGGCCTGGGAAGTATGGATGGCAAGGACACACACAAAAAAATACTTTCATATAAGGCATTTGGTCTTTTTAATGACGTATCGCACATGTGGTCCTTGTGCCCCAGGAACTTACCAGCCCACACTATCTCGTCCATAATTTACTGGAATTAGTGGTAGAAAAGAGTGCAAGGAGAGAGCTTTCAGGCATGTTAAGGAAAGAGCAAGTTAGGAGGGTGCCTCAGAGGACTCAGTTTTGCCAAGTGAGAAGAATGGAGAAAGGGTCCTCTGGCATCAGGCCTGTCCCCAGCAAGACAGTAAGGTAACTGCGGCATGTTTGGAGAAGGGTGGCAGGCTTCTCCATAAGGATTGTGAGGCTTCCTCTTATCCTTAGTCAGATTGTGAGGCTGCCCTGCTACGTCTGGAGAGGGGACATTGCCAAGCCCACTCTGTGCAAAGGAGACTGGCTCTGAGGCAATGATTCCTTATTGGTCATCAGGCCTTGTAAATGGAAGTTCATGGTTTTTCCACCTCCTGGGGATGGTCTTTAGGTAAAACCACAGGACAGAGTACAAGCACCCTTCACTGCTCCAGGCCTTGCCCCTGACATGCTCCATGCCCAGGCCATTCAGGTGAACTTTTTGTGAGCAAGTCGGCCTCTGAACAGTGCTTCACCCCACCCACCCCACAACCACCTGGCCCAGGGTGAGGACAGGTGCCTTTTTTTTTTTTTTGGACTTAACCACTGAGCCATATCCCCTGCCCCTTTATATTTTACTTTGAGACAGAGTCTCACTGAGTTGCTTATGGCCTCAATGAGTTGCTGAGGCTGGCTTTGAACTCGTGATCCTCCTGCCTCAGCCTTCCAAGCCACTGGGATTACAGGCGTATGCCACCACATCCAGCGAGAGGTGCCATCTTGATGGTTCATATCTTTGAGAACAGGAAACTCAAAAGACCAGCATCTTGAGCTAGTCTTTGTAGGCCTCAGTGGCTATTCTTAATTTCCCTGCTGCCTGAAGCATAGGAGTTTGTCTTATTTGACTGCCCAGTGAGACGAAGTTCCTTGTGATGCCCAGCGTCCTGGCCAATGCTTCATCTCTTCAGTGAAACTGGGAGGAGAGCAGAGCACAACTTTGCCGTGAGAACTTGTTTAAACTCTTGTACAGCTTTAAGAGGATGGAAGGCCACTTTGTGCCACTCTGCCCCTGAGCCCATCCTGCTTCAAGAGCACACACTTGAAAACCCTTTTAGAAATAAGTAAAGATAGAAGAGGAACTTACTCAGGGCCCTGGAGCAGGGAGTATTTGTACTCTCAGGAGTCTGTTTCTCAGATGAGAAGGGACATAAGGAACCCCAGAGTTGATTGTATCCAGAAGAACATCCAAGAAATGGGCTGTAGCAGGCGGCTCCTTGGGAGAGCAGGAGCCTGGTAGCTGAGGCCTAGAACACAGGGCACAAAATCACTCCTTGCTTTCTGTGCTTTTAAAATTGTTCACTGAGAACACTGTTACCGACTCAGACATATATTATATATGTATATTTAGATGTATATATATGTGTGTGTGTGTGTGTGTGTATGTATGTATATAAATTTTTCTTTTTATGTGTGTGTTCAAAATTGTTAACAGAGAGAGAAAGAGAAACAGACTGGGCAGTGGAGTTGCCAGTGCCCAGTGTTCTGTTTGTTTCCTCTGCCTTCCTTTTAGGCCTCTTTCTTACTTTGCCTGCCTGGCCCCCAGGGAGATTATGGAGCCAGGCTAGCATGCTTGTGTTGGCCAGGCCCTTTGGAGTGGTGGAAAAGAGTGAGAATGGAGACCAGTATGAATCCACCACTTGTCTGATCGAGACCTAGTATGTGTTCTCATGTATTTTACTTTCATGCTGGTAGGAGACCTGAGGCTCAGAGTTCAACTGTTTGACCCAGGCAGCTCAGCTGATCCAGGTCCACCATGCTACCAGACTTCAGGCCAGGCTTAGCAAAGCATACCCTCATCCCTGAGAGAACATGGCAGTGTTTTGGAACTTCTGTGTGACCCTTAGTTTGGGGTGCTTTTTGTTTGTTTGTTTGTTTGTTTGGGAGCTGTAAGGAGCAATTCTTCTCTGTATCCCATCCAACTCTGTCAAGTTTTTTAAACTACTACTTCATTACGTCTTTGAAAATCCAGTTCTCAGCTGTGTTATCCCAGGAGAGCAGCCTGTTTCTCAGCCATGACAGGTCTGTCCTGTTTATATGTTAAACAAGATAAAAGGCCATGACTCTGTCCCCCTGTTGGGAATGACTGTGACCCTGGGCATACTGACCCTGCCTTCCAAGGCCCTTGTAAAAAACCCAGAAAAAACTCTAGCTGTGCCAGAGAGAGCCATTTCTAAGGAGTAAAACTGGAGCTGTGGGTCCCACCTTCCCCTTGGAGGCCCCAAACTGTTAGGATACCCCTAAAGGTCTGACCTGTGGGCTGTTTCAGTGTTTGTAAGCGGTGCATTCGCAAGATGGACCACCACTGCCCTTGGGTCAATAATTGTGTCGGCGAGAACAACCAGAAGTACTTCGTCTTGTTTACAGTAAGTCAGTTTCTGATGTCTGCCCTGCCCTCCACAAAGCAGCAGCGGAGCCTTTTATTCCTTTGCAAATTCTCAGCATTCACAGCAGTCTTGACTGCCCTTGAGAAAGCTGTAGCTCTCCACCCTCCTGCCAAAGATCTCTGGCTGAAAAGTGCCCTTCACTTGCGCATGCAGACAGGTTGATTAGCTCCCACCCCAGGTGTCAGGCTTAAGTAGCTAGAGCAAGCAGTGTTAGCAGTGTCCTCACTTCCTGAGCTGCAGGTAGGTAGAGAACACTCAGAGCTAACTTCACTTGAAGTTAGCAGTCAGCACCCTAACTTCAAGTGAAGAGAAGTAGTATGCCTTGCATGCCCCCAGGCAGTCCAGGTCATGCCTGGTGCCCAGGCTTTGTTTCTGTTCTGGTTCCACAGACTCAGAGAATGGCTGCTCCCCTCAGACCCAGGGCGGGAGGTCGGAGGCCCTGTGGGGGAATCACCAGATGCCTCTCTGGCCCCGTCCTGGTCAGGCCTCGGCCTAGCTAAGTGTTCCGAGGAGCAGGTTCTGAATGCCCTGCTCCAGAGTCTGGACAGTCAGAAGGTTCTCACAACAATGGCATCTGCACTGCTTTCCTGTTTCAGATGTACATAGCTCTCATTTCCTTGCACGCCCTCATCATGGTGGGATTCCACTTCCTGCATTGCTTTGAAGAAGATTGGACAAGTGAGTATGTGCCAGGGCTTCCCTTCCTGTTCCAGGGTGGGTTCTGTAACCTAAGCGGGGTGGTCACAGACCACCTATGTGAATCCAGCTCTATTTCCTTCATGGAGGCTCTGTTTCCTTCATGGTACCAGCTGTCTACCTCAGTTTGTTAAATCTACTGCAAGACTATGGAGAGAACAGGGAAGGAACAGCAGAGGCCCAAGTCTATCTTCATGAAAGAGAGCAGCCCCCAAAAATCAGTTTAACAGGTAAAGTAATGAGTAGAACAGGCCCATTGCACTGAGTGTGCTCAGGGAGAGTGTAAGGCCCCTGCAAGTAGAGACCCTGGTTCCAAGGAGGGGGAGCCATGTTGGGTGATGGCTTATGTTTCTATCTTTACCTGAGGCTTTTTTTTTTTTTTCTTCCAGTTCTGGGGATGGAACCCAGGACCTCAAGCATGCTAGGCAAGTGCTCCACCACTGAGCCACACCCCCAGCCCTAAATGGGGCACATCAATCAAAAGTTGTTTTATTCTAGTTTTGCAAAAGTCCCTATTTTTAACCTTCTGCCTAGGACATAGAGTTTTTTATTGATTTGCTTGGTTTTTTTGTGGTGGTTGTTTTCAAACTGTTTAATCATCACCAAACATACACAAATTCTCTCTGCTCTAGAAGTATTCCATTTAAATGAGCAGATGGAATGAGGTCCAACCAGAACACTGTTACAAATTCTGAAGGAAAAGAAAAATAGATTCTGGAAGGGAAAACAAAAAGAGAGAGAGACCACCTGCTGGGCTAGAGCTTTCACACTCAAAATCTGAGGCAGTCTTGAGCAGGGAACATCATATTTCTACTGTTTTTCCTTGGTGGGTGCCCTTTTTCACTTTATCATCTTCAGAGCAATTGCCTTTCCTGCATGGGCTGACTTGCCATACTTCTGGCATAAGCCTAGGGAAAGAAGGAGACCACACTAATGAGAAGGAGGCATGGGGAAGGGTGGGGAAGAGTGGGCATCTGCAGATCCTAGCAGAGAGTAAGTCTTCAGCAAGTTCCCAATCGCTTGGTGAGCTTCCTGAAGTACCCTCATTCTGCCACACCCTGGGGATGCAGGTCAGCTCCACGTTTTATTAACACCTCCCACCTGTCATCAGGGTAACTGTAGGCAGTAACAGAGACTGTCAGTGAGGTGGAATGCCTTTGAAATGGTTTTATTAATGTCTACGAGGAGACAGACATCACACAAAAGGCTTGTTGAGCAGTACCTCGCTTCGGTCTTACAACAAGCCTGCAGGGTAGAAGAGTACTCCTCACTTTGCAAATGACAAAAACTGGGGCTCACAGAGGTTGAACAAGTTCTAAGATCATTTAGCCAAGAAGAGGGCCTGCTGTTCAATCCTTGATCTGGAGCAAGGGTTTCCACCTTATCTGGCTACTCCAGGGTCTTCCCTGACACTGCTTGTCTTTGCTCAAAATTGCTGACGGAGTGGACTTGAGGCACCAGTTCCTAGACGAGCAAGGCTAGTAAGGCACAGGACAGTCCCCGTAATGGATACCTGAAAGTTGCCTGTGTATGACAGTTAATGCCATCATTGCTTGGCCCCGGTTGAGCTGGTGGGGCCATAGGAGCTTATATTAAGAGGGCATGGGGACTGTCCCCCAGATTGAGGTGCTTTGAGTTAATGTTTAAAGAAGAATAGGGAGGTAGTTTCACATCCCCTGAATCTGGATTGTGCCTGCCCAGGCTCCATTTGTAATCCCCAGGGCCCAGCTCAATAAGGGAAGGGTGCTTGCTGCTTTGCAGGGAGGGAGATTAAGCCCTGCCACAGGCTTTGCCTACAGCTCCAAGGCAGCCGAGTTAGGTGAGGCAGAGGCAAGATACCTCCAACCAGTGAGCACCCTCTGACCTTATGTCAGGCTAAGGCTGTGCTATACAGATGTCCTCTCATGAATTCTTTCTTTTGCAGGGGTCTTGCGGGGAGTACCAGGGATTGAACCTTAGGGCACTCAACCACTGAGCCACATCCCCAGCCTTTTTTTTTATTTTTAACTTAGAGACAGGGTCTCACTGAGTTGCTTAGAGCCTTGCTTTTGCTGAGGCTGACTTTGAACTCACAATCCTCTTGTTTCAGCATCCTGAGCCACTGGGATTACCGGTGTGCACCACCATGCCTGGCTTCTTATGAATTCTTAATTGTATCCTGGTACAGAAGGGAAAAGCCCAACCCTCTTTCCCAGATTCTCTTGTTGTTAGATACTGTTCCAACCTGGTTATGTAGTAGTGAGCAAAGTCCTCAGCTTCATGAAGCTTGAGGTATAGTGGGAAAGGCAGATACCAAGCAAGTACCAAAAGAAAAAGACAATTCCACAACGCAAGATGGGTTGCAGCAGATTATTAATTATTAATTATGAGGTTATTAGTTAGAGCTCACAGCCAGGGGTTCAAACTCCAGCATGTCTGCCTAACTTCAAAGCCCTATTAATTTCTTCCTAATATCCTGCCCAGCAGATGGCCCGGCAGGCAGCTGCCATGTTTATGGCCACCCAGAGCCAGCCCAGCAGGCTGATGGGCTACCTTGACCAAGCCCTGCCCAGCAAGGAACCAAGAAAAAAAAATATCTTGGGGTATTAAGTTCCCAGGGAAACCTAAGGGAAGGAAGGTAAAAGATGAGTTGTCCCTTTACCTGCCTCCCCACAGACTTTGGTATCTTTCTAAGCCCTTGCAACCTCCCTTACTACTCTTGATGTTCCTGCGAGGCCACCAGCAGGGCAACTCAGAGAATCACTTACTCCCTAAATCCTCAGAGCCAGTGAAGCCAAACTGTCTTTCAACCTCTCCAGCCAGGGAAGCAGGCCTGAGCTGCCCAGGCAGCTGCACTCAGCAAGGGTCCTCAGGGAATGAGTGCTCCCAGGAGGCCTCGACTACACTGCCAGTGCCGTGGCCTGGGCCAGGCATGTCCCAGGTGTGGTCCACCCTACTCACCTCTACCATCTCAACAGCACCTCTGTTCTCTTCCAACATTTCTTTTCTTATTTAGACTTTGTTCAGACAAAAGATTTTGCCACACAGGAGCAAACAGGCCTCTAGTCAGACACTGCTGCTTTACAGTGAATCCTGGATAGGACAGGGCCTTGCCCCGGGTCAGGGTGGCCTTATAGTGGCCAGTATAGTGAAAGTGCTTGCCTTAGGCCATTTTCTCTTTAGTTAATTCCCCAGCCTTTGGGGCTGATGATCTCAGTGAGGCAGATGTCCTGGAAGAAAGGGCGTCGCCTCACACTGTGGTCAGAGCTGAGCCCTGCGCTTAGTCTACCCTCCCAAGCTTCAAATCCAGATGCTTCAGACCTCCCCTTTTCTCTCTGTGGTCTGATGGAGGTACAAAAAGAGGCAGCACCTTGTACAGGATTGCCCAGGATCCCCTGGCCAAATCAGGACTAGAGGGACCTCTGCACCTGAGCCCTTGCGTTGTGCTCTCTGAGGAAGGAGAGGCCCCCATGCTGTAATGAGGTTGTCCTACTGTAGTTCATGGTCCTTCCTGGGTCTTCCATGTGCCAGGCTGTCTGCTTAGACCCAAGGACAGGGAGCAGGGGCTGATTCTTGTTAGGAAAAGGGAAGCCCCAGCCAGAGCCTCTTGAGGAGGGCTTCCCTAAGAGGGTGAGGGGTAGCCGGCTGTAGGATAGGACAGTACCTGCCATGCCTGGAGGTCAGAGACTTGGGACCCCTAAGAGTCCTGCAGCGTAGGCAGAGCAGGAATCCAGGTGCCTTAGGGAGCTGGGCAGCAGCAGGTGGCAGCCCCGAGCCTGCATGTCCTTCTCTGTTTCAGAGTGCAGCTCCTTCTCACCGCCCACCACGGTGATCCTCCTCATCCTGCTGTGCTTTGAGGCGCTGCTCTTCCTCATTTTCACGTCAGTGATGTTTGGGACCCAAGTGCACTCCATCTGCACGGATGAGACGGTAAGTGGGCAGCTCTGCCCTCCACCTCTTCATCTGGGGCTGGGAAGGACCCCAGGCAGGTACTGGAAGGGCTGCTCACAGGCCAGACCTGAGAGCCCAGTAGCTAGGCCCCGGTGTGCAGGGTACAATTCCTTTGTTTGCAGTGACACAGATTGTCTTATTGCATGCACAAACCCTCTAGCCTTGGGCAGGTACAGCAGATCACACCAGGAACGGGACTAGCAGCCGTGGCTAGAAGGTTGCCTGTACCACAGTCCCTTTCATAACCTACCTCCTGGTTCTTTGTACGCACTGCTGTGTTGGGCACTCTGCTAGGCACTGGGGACATGTTTCCCATCTGGAGGCCAGAGGTTTAGAGATAGGGTGATCCACAAGTTATTGGCCTAAACCAGCTGGAATAGACAAGGTTAGCTTCCCAGAGGAGATGTCATGACCAGGTCCTGAGGGCATTCAGAAGACACCTGCCTTGAATCTCCAGAAGCTCCTGCTGGCATTTGAATCGTCGGTGCTTGGCCCAGCCCTGGCACTCAGCCATGGCCTCCCATCCCCCCACTCCTTGCCATCCTACCTACTACTCCCTTTTGGGGCCTGTTGAAGTTGCTGGCTGGGCCAGACTGGAGCCTACTCCCCTGGTGCCCTACTGCCATCTCGTGCTTCTTCAGGTGTCCAGTGTCCTTGAGGTGGCATTTCTTTCTTTTCTGGTTTGGGGGTCCAGATAAAGGACTCCAAGAAGAGAGGGCAGCACTTTGCTCTGGGCATGAGGAGCAGAGTCAGGAGGTCTCAAGTTTTTCCAGGTATTACTCCTGGCTTCCCAAGCTCCCCCAGTGGACATTTTCAACAGTGGTCTGGAGGCTGTGGACTGTTGGGTAACCAGTGTGTGAGTGGGGCTCTTAGGAAGATAGAGTCCTTCCCATTGCTGTGGGTTTCTCTGCCTTATAGGCATAGAAAAGCAGTCAGCAGAGAAGGGTCAGTACTACCCACTGTCAAAGCACCATAGTGTGGATCTGAGGGGTGGGGTTCCCAATGTTTTAGAAGGATCATGGGACTTTCAGCAACTCTTTTTCATTTATAAGAAATAATGTCATTTCTGGGCACAATAGTGCGCGCCTGTAATCCCAGTGACTTGGGAGGCTGAGGTAGGAGGATGCGAGTTTGAGGCCAGCCACAGCAATTTAGCAAGGTCCTAAGGAATTTGTGAGACCCTGTCTTAAAATAAAAAATGAAAAGGGCTGGGAATGTGGCTCAATGGTAAAGTTCCCTGATTTAATCTCCAGTACAAAATAAAGAAATGTCATTGCAAAAGAGTTTCTGTAAAATAGTAGCCAATGTATAGATCCAGCTATGTAGCCAAACAGTAAAGTGACCAGCTTCTCTGTGTAAAAGCTGCAGGGAACCCAAAGGTGACTATCAGGCTCTGCCCACTTTCAGGATGCTGTTGGAGGGTCAGAAGGAAAACATTCCTGGCCTGGTCCTAGTTGTTCTTCCCCATCAAGGCTATTCCTAAGGGGATATGTTGGAAAGCTAAAGAGAAAGGAACAAAGGGCCTGCACCTCATGGAAAAGGGTATCTTCCCCTTCACCAAGGTCCTTCCCAGGTCCCTTGGCTGTGAAGACTCAGACTGGACTGTCCCAGCCCCCATCCCACCAGAGACCACAGCAGACAGCTCTGGCTGAGCTCCTGCCAGGCAGCATCTCTCCTGTGCCTCTGCACAGGGGCCCATACTCAAGCCTTGCCCTTTGTCCAGCTCTGTTGGCAGCTGACCAACTCCATCTAAAGAAGGGAAAAGGGGAAGTTTCCTCCTAGTCCCCATTTTTTCCAGTGAAATATAGCAAGGGAAGTGGCACAGGCTGTGTGACATTGCCACATTGGCCTCCCCCACGCTTCTGCCCCAAAGGAGCACATGGAAGACCTTCACCATGACTGAGGCTGACCTATACTAATCCCTTTCCTTCTTCCTCTGGTGACTTCTTCCCTCACCCACGGCCTCTCACTTCTGCTCTATCTTCTTGGTTTGTGTCTCGCCAGCCCCGCTGAGCCAACTGCTTCTGGATCCCCACAGGCTGGTGAGACTCAGCGCCAGAGCAGTCATTTGATTTGTTGCTTTTTTTTTTTTTTTTTTTTTGTCTGCAAAGTGGTCATAGTAGCTTCAAACTTCCCATGAATCTATCCCAATTTAGCAGCCACTGCTAATTCTCATGACTTCAAGGTCCCACTCAGTTCTGAGGCTTCCCCCACCAAAGCCTGCACTGCAGTCCCATGTGCACCCAGCACAGGCCACAAGCTCCTCTCTAGAGCCCAGGAAGGACCAGGTCTGGTGAATGTTCCCAACCTACAATATGCTGGATTGGCACAGTTAGGACAACAGCTTAGGTGTCTCCTGGCTGCGCTCATGTTCCCTTCCTTCTCTGAGGGACTTATAAATATGTGCCCACCAAAAAAAGCTTTTTTTTTTTTGTATGTGTGACACTTCTTATGAGGGACAGAGAAGAAAAATGCAACATGTAGATAGCTATATATTGCTTTAAAAAGGAAGCATTTACTCCAGTCATCTCAAGCTAATGGATGTCCCTCCCCAAAACTACAGCAATAAAGTGCTTGACTGAAAGTATGATTGTTCTTGTTTTCAGGGAATAGAACAATTGAAAAAGGAAGAGAGAAGATGGGCTAAAAAAACAAAATGGATGAACATGAAAGCAGTTTTTGGCCACCCCTTCTCTCTAGGCTGGGCCAGCCCCTTTGCCACGCCAGATCAAGGGAAGGCAGACCCGTACCAGTATGTGGTCTGAAGGACCCCTGACCAGCATTGCCACTCAGACACAAACCACATCACAGCACTATCGTCCGATCTGTTCTCATGAATGTTTAGACCGAAAAGCAAATCAACTACTCTAAAACTTTTTTTATGTCTCAAGTAAAATGGCTGAACATTGCAGAGAAAAAAAAAGTCCCCATGTTTTATTTTTTAAAAATCATCCTTTTTGATTTTTTGATGACCGAAGCTGCTCTTCTTTTTCCTTTTAAAAATCACTTCTCTGGCCTCTGGTTTCCTCTCTGCTATCTGTCTGGCATGACTAACGTGGAGGGTGCTGTCTCCAGGCCGTGTCCACTTCTACTAATTGAGTGAGACGTGACGCTGTGCGTGGATGGACTGGCCTGGTAGGAAAGCCAGGAGGGCCCTGGCCTCCCACTGCCCAGGAGGCAGTGGCAGGAGCCCATGGGACTTAAAACTCACTGAAGATGGATATTTGCCCCTTGAGGCCTGAGAAGGGCAGGATCAGGGCTGGAGCCTTCAGAAGGGCTGGTGGCTCAGCAGCCTCCTCCCCAAAGTGGACACGGTTTGCCTCCTCATTCACAAAATCAAGTTATTCTGCCTTGTACTTTATGGGCCTGGGGTGTGTAGAATAATTTTGGTGGGGAAGGGGAGAGAGTTGAAGGGGTCTAATTTGTATTCTAAATCAGCAGTTTTATCCCTCTGATGATTTCAGAAGAAAATGAAGGAAAGGAGTTTTTCCATTTCAAAATGCCCTGTACAACCAAAGGGGTGGGGGGCCATGCAGTTTCAGGCAAGCTACTATGTTACAACTTTGTCACAACTACTTCCTCCCTGACCGCCCCATCTCCCTCCCTTCCCTGGCAAGATGTCAATTAAGCAGTGTTGATTCTGGGTGGAACACATGTGCCCCACCGTCAAGCCCTTCTCATTTTGTAAATCTCTAACATGGGTCCACTTTCTGCTATTTAAGAGCCATGGAATGTGTGCGTACCCATGTCTTATTTTAACCTAGGAGACTGTTGTCCTGGCATGGGGCTAACCATGATCTGGGACAACATTTTTAAAGTTGACAGAAGAATGTCCGCTCACTGGACTGAGCAGGGGCACCTGGCCCTGCTGCACTGAGGAAGGCCAGCCTTCCCATGGGAGGCACTTCCCCACTGGGTCTCATTTGAAAGAGGTGGTGACAAGCTAGAGGAAGGACCAAGAGTGGTGGGGAGAGGTGAGGAGATAGGGAGTGCCCTCAGACACAAAAATAACCAATCTGAATCCTGACCATCTGTGAATTCCTACACACTGATTTGTTTTTTAAGCGATTGTCACAAATCTCCCTTTTTAGCTTTTGCTTGGGGTGGGGGCGGGGGATAAGATTTATTCAGTCTAGGCCTGGGTAGGGAGAAAGTTAATCTAGCCATGTGATTTTTCAGAAAAGTCAGTGGAACATGCTGCCTCTTTTAATTCTGTCAGTGCTTCCACATGGAAACAATGCAATAAAACTTTTCCAAAACCTGCTCTGATTTAGCTTTCCTCTCTCCCATGTTACCCACAGAGGAGGGTAGATCGCCCATAGCTGCTGAGGTTTCTCTGCTGGAGTGGTGGTTTAAGTGTGCCCTCTCTTGAATGAAGGTTTTTTACTTAAAGATTTCTATTGAAAGGACATTTATGGTCCCTCTCAAACAAGCTGCCCCACCAGGCCTGTCTCTCTTGGCTGGCTGCCGTCTGAATTGCCTGCTTGGTGTTGATGAGCTCTTTGAGGCTCTAGCAAGTCCTTAAGTCTCTCTGGAGTTTGTGAGCAGAGCCACCCAGCCAAAAGCCAAGTCCAACCAGAGGAAAACATTGCAGAACTCTGGTGAGTGCTGTTCTGGTGCAGTTCTTTGAGGAGCTTTGGCCTCGGGTGTCATGTTGCCAGGTGAGAGACGGCACCCTTGAGCTGTTTAGTCGAGCAACTCTGTAACCCTCCCTAAGGCAGGTAACTTGAACTTGCCTCTACTGTGCTATTCGTGCCATAGAAACAAGCCTCAGTTCTTAAGTGTTTTTTTAGAAAGTCTGCTTTTAATCAAGTTCATAGCATTTGTTCTCCATATACGTTTTTTTTTTTTTAACATTTCATTTAGGTGCATGAAAGAAGAGTGGCTGTTAGATGACTCTTAGCAGTTAAGAAGGAATGGGTCCCTTGGGAGACAATGCTGCAGCTCTGGTTCTCCCCCTAGGGGACAGGGACTTTTAC